TATCACATTTGCAATGCAGAAAGTATATGGGACTAATGCAGCCCGAGTCAATTAAAACTGAACTCGAAGCAGATGGAAAAATACAATTCTTGGTTTTAATCTTAAGTTATCTGCCAGTAACTATGACAGGATGATGAGCTTAGTAACTTAATATACAGTAAATGTTTAATTGTGGTGATAGGACATGTGATGTCACAGAGGTGCTTTATACAAAATTAAATTAAAGGGAGAGATTCAGTTTGCACACAAAATGAATATTTAACATCTGAAGTGAATTGTTTAAACTCATACCTGAGAATGTGTCCACGTCACTGAGATGCAGGCTAAATGGGGGAAATAAAATCCCATGGACAAGCAACCCAACCTCGAGGTCTAAGAATAACCAATAATTAAGTTTACAGCCCATGACACTGTAGCCAAGTCAAATTTGAGTTTGCCAAAACTTACCAGAGGAAGCCAAAATCATTTTGATAGAATGTGCTGTGGACAGACAAAACAAAACGACAGCTTTTTGGTCAAGCCCATCATTCTACTGCTTTCAGAAAAAGAAAAGAGGCCTTTAAAGACAAAAATACAGTCCCTACAGTCACACATGGTGGAGGTTCACTGATGTTTTGGGGTTGCTTTGCTGCTTCAGGCACTGGTTGTCTTGACTGTGTGCATGGCATCATGAAATCTGAAGACTACCAAACAATTCTGGGATGCAATGTAGGGCCCCGTGTCAGAACGTTGGGTCTCCGTCAGAGGTCATGGGTCTTACAACAAGACAATGACCCAAAGCACACGTCAAAAAGCACCAAGAAATGGTTTCAGACAAAGCGCCGGATAGTACTGGACTGGCCAGCAATGAGTCCAGATCTAAATCCCTTAGAGCACCTGTGGAGAGATCTCAAAACAGCAGTTGGGAAAAGGAATCCTTCCAATCTGGGAGACCTGGAGCAGTTGGTGAAAGAAGAGTGCTCCAAAATTCCTGTAGAGAGGTGCAAGAAACTCATTGATGGTTACAGGAAGCCATTGATTTCAGTTATTTTTATTAAATGCTGTGCTACCAAATATGAATTGAGGGTGCCAATCATTTTGTCCAATCCATTTTTGGAGATTTGGCTTTTTTTTTCTACACTTTGCATCATAACAATACAAAAACGAAATAAACATGAGGCCTAAACATTTGTAATTGCAACAATCTTCTGCATGAAGTGGTGCATTATCTGACAGAAACGCAGGGGTGCGAATATTTTTGGCCATGACTGTACATAGATAAAATGTATAAGGGGGATTTATTTTACCTGCCAAAGGATTTGTATTTCTGGCCTTCCAGAAGAGTTCTGTCACACAGCACAGTCCTGCCTAGCTGGGAAGGGGGTCTGGACGTTGTTAGTTTCACTTATAGGTCTCCACTACACCACCCTTTGACCAGACCGTGCAAGACGAGAAGACAAATGAGCTCATCTGCATCAATCTGCCCCCTTCAGCTATCAGCATGCTCTTTGCACTGCAGCACAACTGACTGGCTCTATGTGCTGCTTCTCACAGCTCTGCTGTACAGAATATACAGGAGCTGATGCAAAAATCACACACAGGTATTTACTGCTGCTTGTAAAAACAGTTATTGATGTATTGACACCGGGCTGACATTTTTGTCTTTTACATCTGCCTGGAGTTCAGCTGTGTAAATTAACAGAACCATCTCATCACAGCTTTAAAAAGATGCATCCAAGACATAAGATGGCAGCTACCAAATACAGGAATATACCGGCTGCTGTTGGGAGAAATCAGGTAAGTACCCCTATTCCAATACCTACAAGTTTTCCCATTAAGCTTGTACCAGACTCCTTCCCTGTCCATTGCCTCTCCATTGACTTGGAAGCTTGCAAACAGCTTGCTTGGAACATTGTTGGCAGGATTTTTTGCTTCTATTAATCCACAAGAGCATTAGTGAGCCTGGCACTGATGTTGGCATTCCAATTTATTTCACAGGTGTTCATTTGGGTTGAAGTCAGGTCTCTGTGTTTGTTCCCATCTCATCAAACTGCCAGAGAAAGCTCTAACTGGGCAGAAACATGATGAGTTGACTTGTCGGAAAGCTGGCACCTTATAAAGGCTTCCTCTAAAAGCTGGCATCCTATAAAGCCTGGTTGTACTGAAGGCTACCTGACTCTTCAGTACAACGAGTTTGTCTGTCATTTTCCATTGTAGGCAGCCCCATGATTGTGTGTCTGTTTGCTTAAAGTGACACTAAACTCAGAAGTTAAATCTTAAAAATGCATTCAAGTACATTAAAGTAGTATTAAAGTCTTTTTTTTTTACAGATATCTACGGCTAGCAAGTTGGAGATCTATGCAAAAACATTTAAAAAAAAGTTACCAAATAAGCAAAAACTTACCTGCGTCTCTGCCGCCCGCTGCCGGCTGTAGAATCCAGCTTCCTGAACAGCCGTGCAGGAGTATGTGTGCGGGCGCATGCACAGTGGAGATCACTGGCTGGAGAGGAGAAGAGACTCAGTGGACGTGAATGCATGCACCCTGGACAGACTCCGTGAGACACAGGGGTCTGCGCTGGATCAGAGACCGTGCTGTAGATCCTCAAATAATCTCTGAATTGCTCCTGAACTGATATTGTAGGTCCTTAATAATAATAATAAAAAAATCTTAGTTCTTCAGTCACGCAGCTGGGCGGATCCCGGCACAATTGTCGGGATCCGCTTCAGCTGCGGCGTCTCAGTATACCGCGAGCAGCACCCCGTCACTCAAGGGTTAACTGCTCGTTTGTGTGTAGGTTAAAAAACCCCAAACAAAGATATACTCACCCAAAGCTCAGAACCCGCCAGCTGTCATGGCATTCCCTCCTGTCTGTCCCCTCCTCTGCAGCACATTGGAATATTCCTCAGTGTCTGTGCACAGTGCATAGACGTTGATGATTTACTGGACCTCAGACCGATGCAGAGGAGGGGGAGAGACATTCCAGGGACGGGTCTAAGGAGCCTGCTCAGAGCTTTGGCTTCTTTAACGCACCATTAAACTAATGGACTTTGCTTACAGCTGCTGTTTATAATTTTAGGAACACTATATGCTGACTTAATGTTCAGAAAATAAAGGGCCCCAAACCAAATATTGACAAGTCCTAAAACGCCTTTGATTGCTGACAATCTCATCAAACAAAAACAGCCAACACATTAAGGGGGCAACAAAAACACCCCCTTCATTAGGGCTTAGAATAGGAGAAGGATTTGAATGGACTCAACAGATACTATAACCAAATTGATTTCTGTAGGATTTGATAAATAAACCTACTTTAGTGCCGGAATTGTAATTGGCAGGTTTGTGGCCCTTTATTTCTGAACACTGAGTCACTTCCGGTTATCCAACAAGGGAGGCCTGTTTTGTTTGGGATCTGCCTTGCCAATGTGCTTATTTGCAAACCTTCCTGTATCTGTCTGATCCGAGTGGGCACAGAAACCCCAGCTCCTCTTAAATATGTTACTATGGAGTAAGCATGGTGACATCCGTCCAAACAGAGTTTAAGGGCTTCCAGTGAAGGGTCCTGTAATATTAAAGCAAACAAAGACAAATTGTGCACACTTGTGTCAACCATGTGGGGAAGGCCATTTTCTATTCTAGCATCATTGTGCCCCTGTGCATAAAGCAGGCTCCATAAAGACATGGGTTAAAGAGTTCGGTGTGGAGGAACTAGTGTTCTGCACAGAACCCTGACCTCAACCCTATTGAACAAGATGTCTGAAGGTTCTCATTCATCCAGGTCATGGTATATCTGTAAAGAAATAAGTCAAGGCGACTGGACTTGCTGTATTTTTATTGAAGATGTTTCACTGGTTATCCAACCAGCTTTCTCAATTCAGAGTGACTTGTACAAAAAATCTAAGCTGGTTGGATGTCCAGTGAAACGTCTTCAAGAAAAATACAGCAAGTCCAGTTGCCACGACCTATTGAACAAGTAGGGCTGAATTAGAAAGCAGATGGTGAGCCAGGTCTTCCCATCCAAAATCAGTACCTGACTTCACAAATGACTAGGAACACTCAGATACCCACCCAGATACACTCCAACATCCTGTGGAAAGCCTCACCAGAGGAGTCAAAGCTGTTATAGCTGCAAGAAAGGGGGAAAGGTGGTCAACTCCACGATGGTGCCCATGGTTTTGGAATGTGATATCTACCATATATAGTAGGTGTGCCGTTCAAGTGTACACAAGCTTTTGGCCATTCAGTGCATCTTAAAATATTTAATAATGTTTGTTGCAATGTACCGTACATATCTCCAGTTAAAATCTCCGTACCTAAGCTGAAAGTGGAGTATTCATGCTAGAGGGACATTTTCACCCTAGCCTCTGTTCACTTCAACTTTCATTCAGGTTCAGGCATGGTTCCCCCTTGTTCCCGCTCCTGCAAAATGAGACCTTACGCGTCCATCACAGGTTAAAACAGAAGCAGGGCATCTTATCAGCCTAGCACTATTGTACTGTAACAAATGTATCCGCATCAGTTGCAGATCTGGGAGCTGAAATGCTGAGAACAGGGGCTCTTTAGTGCTGGGTATTAAGCGTTTTGAAACACAGCCAAATCAGGGGTTTAAACTTTCACAATACACAGCTTTAATCTGATGCTGAGCTAGCAACACCACTTTCAAAGGCTGATGATGAAAATACAGTTTGAGTTTAGACAAAAAAAAAAGACAAAAAACAAACAAAACAAAAAAAAAATATACGGTAGTGATTACATACACATAAATGTAACACAAATGATGGTTAATCCCTTCAGAGTCAGCAAGAGCCCACCTTGTGCTGTGGCGATGTCCTGAACCTCAGAGGGGGTTATTCTACACAAAACAAAGGTTCTGCATTCTGTGTATCCGCTGGGAAGACACAACTTAAAAAAAAAAAAAATCATGTTTGGTTAATGGATCACGTTAAAAACGCTTCATGGTTCTAACGGCGACACTATTATGCAGTTCCCTCTCTAGACTAAGTAACGGGCAAGCTACATCTCTCCAGCTATTGAGGAGCCGCAGGGCATGCTGGGATCTGTAGCTCCTCAGCAGCTGAAGTGCTAAACCGCTTTAGACAGTGTCGCTTGGGTGAGGAGCCTGTCCTGCGATGACCAAGTTCACGTTACAGAGACCTAAGGCCGTGGAATTTCCATTTCCAATGGAAAGAAATAATATAATATCATTAATTATAATAATAATAAAAGGTGCAAATAATTCCTCCGCTCAAGGAGGAGCCAGAGGCCCAGCACGGGCCATTCTGGGAGCCAAAGGGTTAAAAACTAGCTGCGTGCCAGTCCTTTAAAATAGGAATCATCCCCCAGAGTTTATCCTTTTTGACAAATCACCTTTGGCACCGATGTGTCCTGACCCAGAGGGCCCTTGTGTCTGTATAAAGAGGGGATCGCTCTCGTCTCATCTGCAAGCTATCTTTCCAAGACGTAAAAGCACAGGAGGATGAACACCTTGGCGGGCATCACTGTGTGCATATATCAGCAAGTGTCTTATCCAAAAAGGTCCACATAGAGAGCAACAAAAACACCAGTGTCAAGTAGGTCCGTCCGACGCCAGGCCTCGTATTCAAGACAATGTCCGCAACGATGCAAGGCTTTACACCCATACGACGACAGACACAAACCCTCACAAAATTCACTTGGTACAACATAACAGGCTACCGAAGAAGACGTGGAAAGGTGCAGAATAATGACAAGGCAGGAGACGGAATCAATAGAATTAACATACATAAACAGGCCTTGTATCCAATGACAGGAACACAGAAGTAAACAAAGCATTGTTTTGAAGCACGATATGATCCAAGAGGGATAGGTCCATCCATTAAATCAGGAGCCGCCGCTTCAAACCCTGGTTGGATGTCTGTAGTAAAAATGGATTCCTTCTGATGTGAAGTATTCGGTATATATCGAAGGATGCCGAAAGATACGCCGTTCGGTATTTTGTGTGCAATCTCCTAATCCGTATGCTCGTGGCTCTTTGGGTTCAGACGAGGGGAACCCTGGGCTGCCAATGTCTTGTTGTGCGAGGTCCGGCAGAGGCTCAGTTAGTCTCGTAAGATGACAGCAGTGCTGCATCCACTGGTTCCATGCAGGAAGGGCAAGTGAAGGATCGCATTAGCCAGTCATCTATACAGTCCATGTGATAAATGTGCATGCAGGGCAGGAATCGGATGGGGTCTCCGTACACAAAGTCCATCATACAGATCACACACCTGTGGAAAGAAAACATTTCAGGTTTGTGAGGGAAATAGGGGGCAGGGGCACATTTTAAGAATAACTAAAATGCAACTTTCCCCATATCTTCCAAATAACAACAAGAACACCTTTAGAAATGTTAAGTAAGGACAATCAATAATCAGATACTTCTAGATAATTGCCGGCTTTGTATTCTTTGCATACCTTGTTTCTCTTTTCTTTCCCAGTCTTCTGACAGTGGCCATTTTAACTAAGAGCAGGTTACTAGCTCTCCCTTTACTTCCTATTACTGACACATGTGACTAGGACATGTAACCATGCACATCATCTCAGGGGAGGAAAATGTCTTTCCCCGAGATCTCATGAGATTACAGGTGAGAGTTCTCAGCAATGCTCTGCTGATGTAACCTTCCCAGGATGCAAAGCTTGGGCATGATTACGTCATTTGTACCAAAGAGGACTAGGAAGTGGAAGAAAAGAAATAGCAAGTAAAATAAAAATATGTTTGTTTAGCTAATGAATGTAAGATGATTTCTTATCAGCATGCAGAGCTCTATGCGGAGATGATTTTTAGTCACAGAGGGTAAAGGTTCACTTTAAAAAAGAACTATGGGGTAAGTGTTTTTCCCCATAGTTCTCTTAAGGGTCACAGGAGGACATATACTAGCGTCCTCCAGTGACCCAAAGCTCAGTATATAGCGAGCTGTATACTGAGACCGCCGCAGCCGGGGCGGATCCCAACAATGCTGTCGAGATCCACCCAGCTGCGTGAATGACAGCTCCCTCTGCCTATCTAGGAGCAGAGCCAGCTGTACCCGCCCCCTCCCCTGTCCGTTCCGCCAGTCAGCGATGGAGGATCGGAGAGGGGGGAATCCCTGCGGGGAGTGGTGACTGACAGTCACGGCTCTCTGCAGGGAGATGATCGACAAGGGAGCGAGCGACGGTATGCGTTCGCTCACTTCCCGATCTATTGAGCCGACGTGTGACAGTTTCATTGTCACAGGTCGGCTCGAAGTGCAGGAGAAGCAGACACAAGCCAAAGTGCGCTGGGCATTTTTTTCTTTTCTTTACAGTTTATAGACTACATGAGAAAAAGGAACCAGTTTTAGAGGTTTTTGATAGACGCAGCCATTCTCTGGTTTATAAACTGCGTGTTCATTCCTAGGCAGCGACTCAAGAACCTGAATATTGTCTACTTTACTGCTCTGGCACCAGTTTGAAGCTTATGAGCCTGGGAACAGCAGCTTCCAGCAGAAGTGTTTACATTCATGAGACTGCCTTTCAAAAAGGGACACAAAACTGGCTCCTAAACAAAAGATATTAGCCTGAGATACTGTAGATCCAAACTCAAAGAATTAGTAGTTACATTGGACAGGTATAAATAATCTAACACTTCTCATGCTTGGGAACCTAAGAGGAGTATACCATTCTATACCTACAGATCATGTTCCAAGAGCTCCCTTCCCATTGCAGAACAGATAGCGGTGGTGCAGTGACAGAGGAAAGTGACAGCATACACACAATAAATGCAAAAGCCGTGATACACTATATGATGTTTGCCCTGGTATTAATGCCAATCGATGGCTGCCAAAATGATTGATTTTACTGCCAAAAGTCTTGGAGGTGATTTCCTATCTAATTTATGTGTCGACTGCTTCAATAGAATGGTGAGGATTGGATGGCAGCCTTGGAGGTTGCTACATATTTTCCCAGGGTCCCTGTGTGCTATGAAGGACAATTAGTCCCCCAATTATTATTAAAGTGTAAGCTATTGTGACAAGTTGGAGCTATGGTAATGAGGTAGGGCAGGGCTATCGAGAAGAGGTTGGGCGTGAGTGTTCTTTGTAATCCATCAGAAATAAAACAGGTAGGGCTGACAACGCGTGCTTTGGAGATCACAGCCAAAAACAGTATTGTCAAAGAGGAAGGTAGGAGCCCGCCATTTTTCTGTACTTGCAGTGTGTTTAACCTCCCTGGCGGTATTCCCGAGTGTAGCTCGGGCTTACTTTTCCATACCATAAGCGGTAACCCCGAGCTACACTCGGGAAAGCTGCATAGCATTTACTTACCTTGTCCCTCGAGCCGCGCTGTGTTCTATTTAAAAATGTTTTTAAAAAAACGACAGACGAAAAACATTCGAAAAAAAAATAGACCGAAAAATGACATGAAAAAAATTTAAAAATCATACTGCCAGGGAGGTTAAAGTGATAAAACACGAGGAAATGTATATGTATTGCAGTAATGTGCAAATTATATATTCTGTTTATATGGCTCGGAGATACGCCCTAACTATGGATGTTTGGGAACCATGACCACTGTTCATGATGAAATCATGGAGAGGATGTCAGCCCAATGACATTATATGAATAGTTCAATTAATAAATGGCAGATTGTTCTAAAACATAATAAAAAGCCCCTTATTTGAAGAAAAAAAAAAAAAGAAATCCGTCAGCTCTCGGGCAAATGTAACTAGTCCGAGGTGCTTCAACTGATAACGGCAGAGAAGGTTCAGGAAAGCTAATAATGAGCTGTATTTTCTTCTTTTTCTCTGCCAGACTGTGCCAAGCTCTGAACAAGGGTAGCAGCTCTACAAGGTAGAGAACAATCTCTTGTGAGGAGCCCCATAGGAAGACTGAGAACGCCTGTACTGTGCAGAATCCCTCAGGGCTGGAGCAGAGCAGCCTGAAAAATACATGTTTGTGTTTACAGCGATTACCCAACCGGGATAATTAGAGCAACAGTGTGCCAGCAACCATACAGCCGGCATAGCTGCAGATTGCTCCAAAATAGCATGAGCCACTGGCGTCAAAGATGGTCAACCTATGTGGGCATTTCCTGAACCACAACCACTGCGATCTGCCAGTTTAAGTTAATTGGGCCTAAACGTACACATTTGGTCCACTTTAAAGTGGAACTTGACCCACCAATTCAGAGGTCTCCCAGAACAGTTACTTTTAGGTCATGCCAACCATTAAGGTTGTCAGTGTGCTTATTTGTGCTCTCAACCCAACTTCCAAGCCCTCAACTGGCTGGTGTTATATCTGATCACATGTGCAGCACCATAGCTTGACACTGAGCTTCACTTATCAAGGTATCTAAATGAATTGTCAGTGTTGTCCCACTGCAACCAGATTCTTTCTTCTATTCTCAGATACTGCAATGGGACAAGCCGATTGGATGACTGTGGCAGATGATTGTCTTTACAGTCACTTTGATAAACTGGGGTCCATTATGGCACAATGTCTATAGTACATAAGAAAGCAGCAGAGGTGAAGTAGAAGTGTAATGCGGAGAACTTACTCTCTAATCTTCTTCTCTGACCCATCACGTCCAGGATCATACACCCCTTTAGGAAGGTGCTGTATGAGTCCTATTCTCTGCGCTATTCTGATCTGCTCCTCTTCTGTGAGCTGAGTAGCTAGTCGGGTCTGGCTTGGGGTTGGATGGTACACAGGTATTGGGGCCTGCTCCTGTAAGACAAAAACATTTGATTACATTAACAGTATAAAGCAGCAAGGCAAATGTCAGTTGATGGATAAAAGTCAAATGCATTCCCAATGTAACAAAACACAAACAAAACCTCCAAAATGTAGCCATTTTGTTTACTAGCTACAGATAAGGTGCCACTTTCCAGCCATGTTGGATTTCCTTGCCTGCAAGTGTTACTGAACTGCAAATAAAATCAGATCTCCATAGCCCTGCCAGACTGTACACTGGGGCAGAGTTGTGCAAAGCTCAAAACTGGATGACAAATCAGGTATCCAGCTCTGCCAGACTTTACTGTGGAGCAGAGCTGATCAGGTCTCCAGCCCTGCCAGACTGTACTGTTGGGCAGAGCTGTGCAAAGCTCAGAACTGGATGACAAATCAGGTCTCCAGGCCTGCCAGACTGTACTGTGGGGCAGAGCTGTGCAAAGCTCAGAACTGGATGACAAAATCAGATCTCCATAGCCCTGCCAGACTGTACTGTGGGGCAGAGCTGTGCAAAGCTCAGAACTGGATGAAAAATCAGGTCTCCAGCCCTGCCAGACTGTACGGCAGAGCTGTGTAAAGCTCAGAACTGGATGAAGAGAAAAAATTATTTTGCAAGTAAAACAGCTTCCTTATATTGGTGTATTTGTTTATTATTATTATATCATACAGGATTTATATATCCCCAACAGTTTGTGCAGCGCTTTACAAAATGGAGGGAGACAATACAGTTAACACAATTTCGATACGGGAGGGGTTAGAAGGGCCCTGTCCATGAGAGCTTACAATCTAGGAGGAGGAGCAAGTGATACAGAAGTTAATAATTGTGTGCGATGTATTTAGCCATTTACCTGGAGATGAAGCCCCCAACTCTAAAATGTACCCATCCAGTGAGGGTCCAATCACCGGACTTCAACTGACGTTTGGTGAAGGAGCTGTACAGTGAATGCAGCCACTGTTCGTGTATTATGACGGAGGTGGGGGCCGGCTGTCAGAATAAAATGGCTGGCATTGGAGATTCCCCCATTTATGCTTATTAGCAAGCAATGGGGGAATGAAAACACCCAGCCCCCCCCCCCCCCCCCCCGCTGAGTGTATGGCCAGCATAAGGTGCGATATAAAATATTTTCCTACCTTCACTAATAACTTTATTTAAAAGAAGACAAATCAACGGTGTGTCCTCTAGTCCATTCTGCAGTCAGAGTTGGGCTACAGGGCCTGACACATACAACTATCTATGCAGTCTAGCTGACCAGGCGGACGATGAATGCTGCAGACAGCAGTCTCCTCCCAGGCCAGCTGTCTCCAGAGGCCATGCCAGTTGCTGTTGTCTTACACCATTAAATCACCAGACTGCTGACACACGAGCAGTAAAAGGTTTCCACTCCTATATCCCTCCCAGCATTCCATACTCTGCAGAATGCAGCACGATCGCTGGACTGGAAAACAGTTGTGTAATTGTCGAGCCCTCAGGAACTTCTCAGATCACTTGGAAAGATCTCTTTCACGACGACTGGTAAGCTGCATGATATGTCTACAGAACACTTCCAGAGCAAAGAGGTAAATCATCAAATTGCACCACTACAAAAAGGGGCAGCCAAACTTCCAGCCACCTCTTGTGGAACTACAAGTCCCATAAGGCATTGCAAGACTGAAAGTCACAGGCATGACTTCCAGAGGCAGAGATAGGATGGGATTTGTAGTTTCGCCACAGCTGGAAGGACATTAGAAATGTAACGGAATTCACTGCAAAGCCCAAAGCAAGCATTTTTTAAATAAAATTCTGCTCTGCAAATGTGTAAAATAAAAAGCTCAGGCTGCACTACTCCCTCTTTAATCCTGGAGCTGTTCCCAGCAGTAATCCCTTTGCTTCACAAGATGTTCTCAGTGTTCCAGGCTGGCCAGTGTCGTTCAACACAGAAGACTGGGAAGATCCTGAATGTGCAGGGCGCCTGGACGTCAGTGCAGCTTTCAATATCTGGGACCACCAAGTGCAGGAGGAGACGCAAACAGGAACCTGGGTGTCACCTGCCCAGCCTGGAAACATCTGGAAGAATAAACCATAAAACAGCATACTGCCGGTAGAATACCAATGCCCCCCCCCTCCCGGCTGCAGCTTCCCATGCTGTCTGCAGCCCAACCTGTACAAATCTAGTGCCACAATATCTCAGACCTGAATAGGATATTGCTACTGCAGTACAAGTACATCATATTTAAGTCTATGGTACATTAGTGCACAGGGGTGGACAGCCCAGCACTAGAAATGTACCAGCCAGGCAGGCTACAGACCATGCAAGAGGTCACAGCCATCAACGAAATTAAGGACCTAACAATTAAAGAGAAACAGTCCTATGGATGCTGCCATTGCTGACTCCTCCTGAAGGTACTGTTTCCTGGCCTGTCACGCTGATCCAGTAGCTTCCCGTGTCACTGCCTCAGAACAATGCAGATTAGGAGTTCCAACTTCAGTCAGGACTGTGTGCTGGTTTTGGATTGGAGACTCGGTATATACAGGATCTAGAGACAGCGGGGCAGCTAGCACTTTCAGAAGGTGGTCAGCAATTGAAGTGCCCACATTTCTATCACTAGAGGTTTACTTTACAGGGGAATTACACATTTCAATAGAAAGCTACAGCAATAAGAGTGCTCTTCCACCTCTCAGCCCAATGTAAACAGCGAGACCTCCACCCTGCAGTGTTTTATTTTACTAACAGCATTAGGTTGATGTGAAATGCAAACGTTTCTGTGGATTGCCATTTCTGCAATGTATACCCTCGCTATCCTCTCACAGCTTCAATCTTCATAAACTGGCAAAACCCTTTGTACTACATTTTTTCCAACGATCTTTAGTAGTTGGTGATTGCAGACATCAGGGCAAAGGGGACAGAGTGCAAAAAGGGAGGTGGCAGATCTTAAGCAATACATTCACTTACTGCTCCTACAGAGAGCCAGCATAGAGCTTGGATGTGTATATTCTAGGAAAGACTGGCTCCACACTATTTTATAAATGGTTCCCCAACACAGGTTTAAGATAAAATGCAGCTCTGGCTGCAATACTCACCTCTCCGGCGCTGTCCTCTGCACTACCTCTTCTCTTCGTCAAAAGGTATTAGAAAAAAAAGTGTGTGTGTGAGAGAGAGTGTGCATGAGCCTGTGTGTGCGCATGAGCCTGTGTGTGTGTGCATGAGCCTGTGTGTGTGAATGTGTGTGTGTGTGTGAGGAGTGTGCATGGGCCTGTGTGTGCATGAGCCTGTGTGTGCGTGTATATAATATATATATATATATATATCACACACACATACATACACTGAGTGGCCAGATTATTATGACCACCCCATCAGTACTTTGTTGGGCCGCCTCGTGACTCCACGAGATGATGAAAGGTGATGCGAGGAATCTGACGCTGCACTGTTGTCTTGTACCAGTCTTGCCACTCTCCGTTCTGCCCTAACATTGACTAGTCGCTGACGGCCACAATTCGCATGTTCACACCCAGATTTTCGGCTGACAGT